CATAGCTTAGAAAAAATAAAAATCAAAGAGTTCTGATGGGTTCATGACTCATCCAGTGCCATAGATTGTTGTTGGTAGGAGTCGTTGAGTTGACTACAACTCAGAGCTGACCCTCTGAATGATGGATCTGAACCCTGCCTTATCTTGTGCCATCCTCAGTCATCTCTGATATACTTGAGCCCATTGTTAGAGTCAATTTGTGGCAGTCCATCTTGTTGAAGGCCGTCCTCTCTTTTGCTGACCCTCATGATGTCCTTTCCTAAGGTCTGGTCCCTCCTCACATGTCCAAAGTACGAAAAGTGAAGCATCATCATCCTCGCCTCTAAGGAATAATATGGTTGCACTTTCTCTAAGACATTCTTGTTTGTTTTTTTAGCAATCCATGGGATAGTACTCTTCTCTAACATCAGACCTCAAAGGCATCCATGCATGATTCTTCAGTTACCCTTATTCATTGTCCAGCTTTCAGATGCATGTTCTTAACATGTTCTTGTTAAGTGTCATCGAGTTGCTAGTGACTCATAGCCAACAACAGCTTTGAACCCTCCACCTTATAGTCTCTGACACACTCAACCCCCATTATCACAATCACTGAGTCAGTCTGTCTCATTGAAGGTCTTCCTCTCTTGCAGTGTGCCTCCACCCTCCCAAGCATGATGTCCTACTCCAAGGACTGGTCCCTCCTTTCAACATACCCAAAGTATGTCAGACAGAGCTTCAGAATCCTTGCCTCCAAGGAGCAGCTTGGTTTCACCCTCTCTAGGACAAACCTGTTGGTTTACCTAACAGTCCATTGTATATTCAGTACTCTTCTTCAGCACCACAACTCAAATGCATCAATTCTCCTTCTGTTATCCTTAGTTATCATCTAACTTTCTGATGCATAACAAGTAATTGCAAAGACCATGTCCTGGATCAGGCATTCCTTAATCTCCAGGCTGACATTGTTTCTCTTCAGTACTCTGTGGAGAGGTCCCTGACAGCAGATTTCCTCATTGTAATTTGCCTTTTTGGTTTCCTGGCTGCTGGTACAAAAAGTTGATTGTGGAGCTGAGCAAACTGAAACTGTTAACAATGTCATTCTCCTCACCATCTGTCATGATGCTGCCATCTGGCCCAGTGATGAGAATTAGGTGCATAGCAAGTATTAAAGAGACCATGGTTTGGATCAAGTGTAGTTTTTAAACTGATACCATTTCTCCTTAGCACTTTGGAGAAGACCTTGACAACAGATATTTCCAGTGTGTTACATCTTCTGAAATTTTCCCAGTTTTTTCTTTAATGAACTTTATATAGTTTTAGGTTCCATCTTGAGTTAGTGTTTGCGTATGGTGTGAAGTATGGATCTTGTTTCAGTTTGTGTATAGTGTGAGGTATGGATCTCCAATTTAGTCAGCATTATTTGTTAGAGAGGTATCTTTTCCCTATTTAATGGATTTCACCTCTTTGTCAAGGATCAGCTCTCCATAGGTGCACAGACTTATTTCTGAGTTCTCAGTTCTATTTTCTTGGTCTGTTGACCTGTCACTGTACCTTTTGGAAGCAGATAGCTGGACCTGTTCTTTCACATGTCTCTGGTAGAGTTTGAGCCATCAACCTTTCAGCCCTACACAGGTAGCGGGTGAACAGTTTGAACCTTTCGTCCCTTACTTTGATTGCCTTTTTTACATAACTTTCAAGTTACAGTTAAAAGATGTCCTGTGAACCCTCTTGAATGATGAAACTACAATTTGACATAATGCTGTTTGTGGCTGTGTTTTGTCTAGGGAGGACCCGATCTCACCAGCTGTGTACTTACAGGTGCCAGACCAGCATTCCTGAAAATGCCCTCAAATCAGTTCTGTACTGCTGCCACAACTTACTTAACGTGTCTGTGTCAGACTACTTATTGTTAGAGAGCAGTATAATACTGTGCATGTTCATTCGTGCAACAAATATTTGTTGAGCTCCTATGAGATGTCACTTTCTAATAATAATAGTAATAATAGGAGGCATTATTGAATACTGAAAGATTGGGAACTCTGGTGTTTTCGTGGTAAGGAATTGTGCTGCCACCCCAGAGGCAGGTGATTCAGAACCAGCAGCTCCTCAGTGGGGAAGGATGGGCAGTCTCCGGTTGTGTGATTTACAGCTTCTGAAAACCTGATGGGGGTCAGCCATGAGTCAGTTCCAACTTGATGACATGCACTGGTAGCCTAGTGGTAAGAACGCTGCAATCCAGCTTGATGACATATAAATTAACATTGACCAAATACTATCTTTGGTGTTAAGTATGCAGTGATGCACTAAGTAATTGGTAAAGTATTCATGGAGTGTTATGCTTATATATGATGCAGATACTATTATTAATGCCTGGGTATGTCAAAGAAAAATTTACAACAGTACTTTAAGACCAAGTCATTTTATTTTCTCTGAGTTTTTAAGACTTAACCCACCTGTGAAAGGTTTTCACGTCAGTCTGCCTTTCTGACCCAAATGATTAGAGTGGAGCCTTGGTGGCATAATGTTTAAATGCTCAGCTATTATTAAGTGGAAGGTCAAGAGTTTGAACCCACCCAATAACTACCCTGAGGAATGATCTGGCCATACGCCCCCATGGGGATCACAGCTTAGAACCACTCTAAAGTGAATTTTAGCTTTGTCACATAGGGCTTCTGTGAATTTAAATCAACCGAACGACACTTAACAGCAGCATGATTAGTAGGGTTACCCATGCTTTGATTGAGAGCACATTCCAAAAATCACTTCATACTTGAACCTTGTTTCCTTAAAATACTTTTTCTTTTAAATGAGACTTTAATTGGCTCCCATAGTAGAAAATTCATATTTAACTTCCTTCTAGATAGTTGCCCCAGCATTATGAATTTTCTTGGTCATGCTAGTTTGGGTGTGTCTCAAATCAAGACAGATATCTTTTATAGAGATCCACCCACAACATTCCTGACATGTAAATCGCTGCACATTAAGAAAGGGATGGCTCTGTGAATTTCCAGCATTTTATTAATAAAAAGTTAAGTTGACAGTATTCCAGATGTCAGAATTAAGGCAAGATTGGTACTGGTTTAGGTTTTCGTTTTGTTTTGGAGGGCTTTTTTAGTATGGGGGGGTTTGTTTTGGGGTGGTTTTTTTAAGGTGAGGATTTCTTTTTTTTTTCTTGCTATCGTTTTTTTATAGAAATGATCAGAATATTTTTCCCTTTGTTTTTAAAATATTTTTTTTTACTTTGCCCCACTCCATCTCTTCTTTATAAATTGGTTTTAAACAGCTATGTACCTTAAATATTGACATTATCTGTCACCCCTTTGAAGAGGAGATTGAAGAAGTCTGAAAGTAGTTTTACAATTAAAAAAAATAGCCCATTTTATTGAATTATTTTTGGCAGTGGGCAATTCAGATATCGTACCTATCTGAATGCCTTTCCTTCATTGTCAGATATGACAATATTTGTTTTTTCAAAACTGGTCTCTCTTTTTTTAAATTTTTATTTCACTATTTGTGTGTACCGTCAAATCAGATCTGACTGGTACAGGAGGAGATTGTCCCTCCTTCCCCGGCAGAGCATCTGGTGGATTCGAACCGTGCGCCTCTGGGATTGTAATGCAGCTTCTTGCCACTAGGCCACCAGAGCTCCCCAGAACTGGTCTCTCTTAATGCGTTCCTCTATTCTTCCTTAATTTATGTGTTGCATCCATAGTTTCAAAATATTTTTAACCCTCCTATATGTGTATCCAGGAGCCCTAGTGACCTACTATGATCCCTGTTGGAGTGCCAGTCAGAAAGTTAGTGGTTTGTGTACTCTGGCTCTTCAGAGTGGGAAAGATGGACAGTCTCCTGCTGTTAAGACTTACAGCCTCAGAAACCCCGAGGAGGGGCACTTTCAGTCAGAACTGACTTGACAGCAGTTACATTGAATTTAGATAAATATCAGTTCACTTGTATCTAATGATCTGAATCTTTAAAAATTTACTTTCCATTTGTTTGCATCATGTGTCTTAGCAGGTTGTCCAGAAAAGGAAGAAAGTTTTTTCATTCCTTTGAGCTTTTTCTTTTTTTTTTTTTTTTTTTTACTTGTAAACATGCTCATGGGCAATTTTGATTGACCAGACTCATTACCTTCAGTTGTTTCCTGAATTACTAAGATTAGATAAGAGTTAACACGCAAAGTTCTTCAGACCTTTTCTCTAGATTTCTTCTGTAAAACAAAATCTTAAAAAAAAAAACCTCACGAACTCTGTTAAAATTGACCAAAATGTAATAAATTTCAAGATACAAGCTCAAAAAAGTACTAAAGTACATGCATATTAAAATTCAAATACTTCCAAGGCTAAAACCGAGAGTAATCACACAACATTTGGAAAGAGATACTTAGGGCAAGATGAAGGGGAAAGAATGCTGTTTACAGGCTCTGCATCCACGCAGTTCTCCCCTTGTTTTGCAGTTTACTTTCTCTCTCTCTCTCTCCTTTTAATTCACTTGTTGATTGCCTTTGAGTTGAGCACGACGTACAGCAACCCTATTTGAACAAAAGACCTGAAGCCCCTCTACAACTGGATCACTTACTAGTAAATATTTTACTTTAGTGCATAATTTATCTTCTAACTCACAGCAGAAATAGTGCAGTTATTATTTGGAGCATTCTACATGGTTGACTTTAAGAATGTGGTAGTAAAACATTAACAGACATTTTTACAGTCTAACACCAAGTTTGCTTTGACTAGTAAGTTAGCATACTATTTTCCAGGATAGAATTTTTAGTTTTTTATGTGTGCATGTGTATGTCTAGTTCTTTGCACGCCCTTCTTTCTTTACAAGACCTAAGGAAATTTTGCACTCTTCAACCACAACATCTTAGGAATGATTTCATAAAACCAAATAAAAATAATAAAAATTAATGTTAGACATGCATTTAGTGGATAGCACTGCAAACCCCTGAGGACTTAGATTTAAGTAGATTTTTTTTTAACTGTGGTAGAAATAAACATTTTCACTGTCTCTTCTAGGTCCATCACGTTACACAAAATGGAGGACTGTATAAAAGACCATTTAATGAAGCTTTTGAAGAAACACCCATGCTGGTGGCTGTGCTCACTTATGTGGGCTACGGGGTACTCACCCTCTTTGGATATCTTCGTGATTTTTTAAGGCATTGGAGAATTGAAAAGTGTCACCATGCAACAGAAAGAGAAGAACAAAAGGTAATATTATTAAACAGTCTAGAGTCTATAAATAGAGGCTTTTTATAGAAACTTTGGTATTTTCACCTTAAATTTTCTGATGTAGTTAAGTGAACATCTTCTACAAAGAAAGATGAAAACAAAGCTAAAACACGTGGAAAAATTAGAGCGCACTGCCAGCGGAAAGGCACTCAGTTCAAATCCACCAGCTGCTCTGCGTGGGAACAACAGGCAGTCTCCTGTGTGATTGACAGCCTCTGGAAACCTGCTGGAAGGGTAGTTGGGGGTTGTTTCGACTCAGTGGCACACACCACCAAATAACAATGTGCTGCTTAGAGATAAGGATGGTGAAACTTCATCTCCCATACATTGGACATAGACCAGTTCCTTGCAAAGAAGACATCATGCTGGGAAAGGTGAAGGGTCAGCGAAAGAGAAAAATCCTCAACAAGATGGATTGACATGGTGACTGTAATAATGGAAACTAGCTTATCAAAGATTGTGAGGATGGTACAGGGTAGGGCACGGGTCACGTTTGATGTTCATAGGGTTGTCAGTTGTAGTTACTTGATGACACCTAATAGCAGCAACAGCGTCCCTACTTTATGAATGTTGTTGTTGTTAGGTGTTGTTGAGTCATGTTTGACTCACAGCAACCTTATGAACAACAGAAATGAACCCTGTCCTGTCCTGTTCCATCCTCATCATTTCTGACACACTTTTGAGCTCATTGTAACAGTCACTGTGCCAGTTCATCTGATTGAGGGTATTACACTCCTTCACCCACTCTCTGCCTTTCCAAACATGGTGTCCCTATCCAAAGAATAGCCTCTTAAGGACATGCCCAAAATATGTGAAAGGAAGCGTTGTCATCTTTGCCTCCAAGTAATCTGGCTGTACTTGCTCCTGTCCATATCTGTTCTTTTGGCAATCCATGAACTATATAGTACTCTTCTTTCTAATACTATAACTCAAAGACATCAATTCCACCTCCCCTGTCATCCTTATTCATTGTCCAGCTCTCAGATGCATAACAAATGATTGAAAGACCATGGCCTGAATCAGGCACACCTTAGTCCGCATACTGACATCATTGCTCCCCAATAATTTGGAGAGATCCCTGACTGTAGGCTTTCCTGGACTTTCAGTATGTCTCCTAATCTCTTAACTTCTTGAACCAGGTGTATTGATTGTGGATCCAAGTAAGATGAAGTCATTGACAGTTTCAATCTTTTCTCTATCTGTCATGATGTTTCTTGCTATCAGTCCAGTGAAAGAAATTTTGTTTTCCTGATGTTGAGATGTTATCCATATGGAAGGCAGTAGTCTTTGATCTTCTGTAATGTTTCCTGTGATACTTAGTGTCAGAATTGATATAGACATAGGTCTATAAGATGCTAAAAGACATATTCTTTCTCTTCATGCTAGAGGATTGTATCTACATTTTTTTGAGTAGATTGTATTTTTTTTATTGAGTAGATTATATTCTTTAGAACCATCATGTGTTTCCTTATATACTTGTCTTGTTTACTTATGTAGTTCACAGATCTATACCTCTCTCCAAGCCACCGAGCTGTAAAACAATGTGGCAGTGCTGTTCTGTTTACAGTGGAAGAATGATAAACAGATAATAATGGTTGCCTTTGGGGAGGAGGCCCTCATTCACTTCACTTCTCTCTTTATACTTCTTTGTGCCTGTAGCTTTTTGTACAATATATATGTCTCACCAGTTTTTAATTAAGATAAAAATGGGAAATGCTGATTTTGTTCAAAATGAAACAAGGTCGTTTGTTTAGTATGTGATGCATGGAGCAGTCGTCCCAGGCAATGGTGTGCTATTGTTATTAAATGTTTCTAGGACCTAACTCACAGCTCATCCTCCAGTAGGTTTTCAGAAGCTGTAAATTACATGGGAGGAGATTGCCTATCTTTCTTCCAAGGAACAACTAGTGAATTTGAACTGCTTGCCTTTGGGTTGGCAGCTCAGCTCCTTACCACTAAGGCCCGCCTAGCTCCATCAGGCAGTGAGTAGAGTTCCTGATTACCATTGAATCAGCTGTATACTGCTCCATAGTCTTTTCTTGGCTCTCATCTTTATGGGAGCACCTTACCAAGTGTTTCCTGTGGAACTACTGAATGAGTGGCTTAACTCTTACACCACCGAAGTTCCTTTTCTTTTTGTTGCTCATCCTTCCTTGAACTTTGATGGGTCATTAGAAGAGTGCTGCAGTGGCAAAGTACCACTGAAGAGAGAAGTCAGAAAACACTACCTGTAGGTTAAGTTCAAGGGTAAAGATGTTATATTGTAGAAAGGGGAAGAGGGCATGAAAGAATGTAGTAGGAGGAAAAGATCTTGTTCAGGTCATGAGCAAAACAAATCCTGTTCTTGTCTTTAGGAGATTTTCAATAACTTTCTAGAAGCCAAAACTCAAAGTTAATCTACTGCCATCAAGTTGATTCCAACTCATAGCAACTCAGTTAGGACAGAGTGAAATAGCCTCTCCCACTACAGGATTTCTAAGGTATGAATCTTGATGACGTCAACTATTGCATTTTTCCTCTGCAAAAGGGCTGATAGGTTCAAACTGTTGACCTTTTGATTAGCAGCCAACCTGGGCTTCTTACTGTAATTTCTAGTATTGGGATTGCTTCTTTATCGATCTGTCCTCCTGCTAGATTGCGTTGGTGGTTTTTATTCGTGTATTCAAGCTGAAAATCTTATCTACAACTCCTTAGTCACCCTCCAAGCCTGGAACTGAACTTACCCCATGACTCAGTTCTTACTTGAACAGTAACTTTAGGAAAGTGTGACTCCTTAGACCATTTAAGCATCGAGGTAAAAACAGTAGCATTTGTCTTAAATACACAATTCTGCTTGTTGAAATGGAAGAGGGCATGAAACACTTTCTGTCAGTCATAGACTACAGCCTTTACTATGGATTAGATCTCAGCATCAAGAAGAGACAGATCTTTAAAACTGGGCCAATAAGGCATCATCATGAAAGATGGATAGACGAGTGAAGTTATCAATGATTTCATCTTGCTTAGATCCACAATCAATACCCTTGGCACCAGCAGTCAGGAAATCAAAAGACATATTGCATTGGGTAAAACTTCTGTCAAGGACCACTCTAAGACGTTAAAAGAGCAAAGATGTCAGTTTAAAACCCAAAATCTGATTTAAGGCATGGCTTTTTCCCCCCAGTTACATATATGCATCTGGAAATTGGCAATTAACAGAAGAAGAATTGATGCCTTTTAATTGTGGTGTTGGAGAAGAGTATTAAATATCCTCTGGATTGCCAAGAGAAAAATTATGTTTTGGAGAAAGTGCAAAGCAAGAATATTGAAGCTCCATCTTGCAGAAGGGGCCAGTCCTTGGAGAAAAATGTCTTGCTTGGAAAGGTGGAGGATCAGCAAAAGAGAGGAAGACTCGCAAGATAGATTGACACAGTGATGTAACAGCAGGCTCAAGTATCAGAGATGATAAAGATGGCACAGAATAGGGCAAAGTTCAGAGTCATTGTTCATGGGGTTACTTGAGTTGCAGTAGACTTGACAGCACCTGACAGCAACAGCAATGTACAAAGAAAGCAGGAAAAGGTTAGAAAGGGAGAAGGAATTGGAATAGGAAACAGGGAGTGGGGTGAGTGATGCTACGTTATAGGGCTTCCAGTTAATGACGTTAAACAAAAATGTGTTCTGTAGGGACCTTTTATAGTGCCCACACATAGTTGAGACTTGGTAATTGACAAGTACAGATGGCGGGTGAGTCCCTGCATGGTACAAATGATTTGAGTTTGGTCCCCCATCAGGGGGCTCCAATTGCTTAGCCCCCAAAGCATTGTGTTGCACCATCTCTCTCTGGTGGTGTGACTCAGTCAGCAACTCAGAGGGAGAATGATAGGCCGTCTCCCCCTGTGCAGCTTACAGCCTTTGCAAACTCACTGGAGGGTCATTTGTGAATTGGTTCCAACTCAAAAGTAATGAGATTTTTATGTTTTTACCAAACTGAAAGGTTGACAATTCAAATCTGTTTAGTGGTACCGCAGAAGAAAGGCCTGGCAATCTGTTTCCCTAAGTTTACAGTTTTATTCCAAGGCATACGGAGTCACCGTGAATTTGAGTCAGCTGTGAGTTGGATTCCAAAGAGTGATTATCTGTTTTAGAGGTGGAGAAGTGCTGATTCCTGTAGAGTGTGGTTTTCTGGCTGAAGGGACTATGTTGGCAAAGACACGAGTAGTGGTTAGGAGAACATGGAGTGTTGATGTCTAAGAGATTGTGCTTTGAATGCCAAAGTAAGACATTTTCCAAGCTGTGAGAAGCCCTGTACCGTTTTTGAACAGGAGAGTGATTGGGTAGTTGACACAGTTGGTGCTGCTTCAAAGTTTGATGAAAGAATGAATGAAAGTAGACACATTTGAATTACACTCTAAGTACATGGTCTTTGTTGTTGTGTGCCATTGAGTTGGAACTCACTCATAGCTGACCAATAGCAGGTTCCCAGAGGCAGTAAATCCCACAGGAGGAGACTGCCCATCTTTCTCCCACAGAGCAGCTGGTGGATTCAAACTGCATACCTTTGAGATTGCAGCGCAACAGAATTTCATTTCCCAGAGGATAAGTTGATGGGTCATGTGCTGGGGTCTACCTACATACACTTCACTTTCTGTTGAAGAATAGGAACACTAATTTTAATTCTTAGTTTCTTCTTTTGTTGAGGACACATGTACACTTTAAATTATGGGCTTTTGTAAAGTATTGGTCTGTTGTTGTTATCTGCGACTCATAGTGACCCTACAACAGCCCAGGAACCTGCCTTGTCCTCAGCCAATCCCACCAACTCTGACACACACTACCCCCATTGCTCTAGTCACTCTATCAATCCATCTTATCATGGCTCTTCCTCTCCTGCACTGTCCCTCCACCCTTCCAAGCACAATGTCCTCCAAGGAGCGGTCCCTCCTGGCCACATGCCCAAAGTTTAATACAGATGAATAGAAGTGCTTGAATTTTATGAA